CATCATTTTTGTCCAGTTTTATTTGGAAGATGATCCCTTGGAATAGCTTTATGCCAGAAAGAAAACCAGACAATGTTTTGTTTTGATGTTGCTTCTGAGTTATCAATGAAACTAAACCCCACAAAGGGGTTACAGTAATTTTCCATTTGTTTTTTTCCTCCTCAGATTGTTCAGAGTCCATCTAAAATGCAGACTTTCAGAGAAACCAAATAAATTTGATTCCCTTGAGCTTGACTGACCTCTTTCATCACATGAAACACCCTCAAGAAATCAAGGACAGAGCTGAAACAACATTCAATCTTCATTAGGTGATTTTGCCAATGCAACCAATTCCAATCAATCAGACTCACATTTGAGATGCACAGCAAAGAGTGTTATATCACATTTGGCTAAGCAAAGTATATATAAAAAATAAAAGTAAAAAAAAAAGCTTCTGTGGACAAAAAATGAAATATAACAAACAACTGCCACTTCATGGAGGCATCCTGAACTCAAATCAAGGCTGAATTCAAGTGCTTTAACAGATGAAGACAATGACATGCAGTAGCTTTTCTTCTAAGTAGAACAGTAGATTAAATTATTCACTGGTTCACAGAAGAGATAACACTGTTTCCTATTTTTTTTAATTATTCTCAACCAGAAACTTCTATTTATTTATAATATTACTAAAGAAACTAATGTCATTGCATCACAGCTAAATGTCCAAAATTTAAAAGCAGTAATTATATAAAACTAACTAAAAAGACAAGAATTAAAGAAAAGTACTTCTACTGTTGCTGTAATTATACTGCAAACACAGCTGTCAGGAATAAATGTATAAAAGAAAAAAAACTGTAATTCAAAGGTAGTATGAATAAATAGTGCATACACTTAGTAGCACAGGGAAAGCTGGTAGTGACTTCAATCACTATGTTACCTAATGTTGTATTTTGGAGGACACTTGTAACTTTTTCTTGAAGCACGCTCTAACCAGTTATAATGTAAAAACGGATGGATGACCATGGCACCAGCTCCAGATATCCACACAGAGGGGGTGTAAGAACAGTAGTTACTGCCACTGCTGCAGCCAGCCCATCCCTCACTGCCACCCCAGTCTCAGACTAGATAATTACACTTCCAATTCTGACCTCCAGTATTTGCAACAGATATTTGCTATGCAGCAAAGTAATAGTCCTCACACTAGAGGTGCCTTTTTGTCCCTTTCTATTGAGGTTTCAGTAAGTTAAGCATAACCTTTTCTCACCTTCCTCTTATGGACGAGGGGATGAAAAGCACCTTGTTCAAATTCACGGATGACACTAAGATGTGAGGAGAAGTGGGCACGCTAGAAGGGAGGGACAGGCTGGAATTGGATCTGGACAGGTTATAGGGGTGGGTAGATGAGAATAAGATGGGATTCAATACTGACAAGTGCAGGGTACTGCATCTGGGGAGGAAGAACCAGCAGCATACCTACAGGCTGGGGAACTCCCTTCTTATCAGCACAGAGGCAGAAAAGGATCTTGGAGTCATTATAGACTCCAAGATGAACATGGGCTGCCAATGTGGGGACACAGTCAGGAAGGCTAACTGCACCTTGTCATGCATCCATAGATGCATCACGAGCAGGTCCAAGGAGGTGATCCTCCCCCTCTATATGACATTGGTCAGGCCGCAGTTGGAGTACTGCATCCAGTTCTGGGCGCCACACTTTAGGAGGGATGTGGACTACATGGAGAAGGTCCAGAGGAGGGCCACTTGCATGATCAGGGGGCAGCAGGGCAGGCCCTATGAGGAGAGGCTATGAGACCTGAACCTGTTCAGCCTCCACAAGAGAAGGGTGAGAGGCGATCTGGTGGCTGTCTATAAACTGGCCAAGGGAGACCAGCAGGCAATGGGAGAGTCCCTGTTCCCCCGAGCACTACTGGAAGTAACAAGGAATAATGGCCATAAGTTGACTGAGAGTAGAT